TCTTTTATTTCAAGTTATGTTAGGCTTTTTAGGTCGCTAGGTTTTTTAGATTTCAAGTTATCCTTACATTTCTTTTGGGCTTCTTAGGGTTTCTTAGGTTTCCTTAGGTTTCCAAGGTTTTCTTAGACTTTTTAGGTTTTCTTAGGGTTTCTTGCGCTTTTTAATTTCGTTTCGAACTTTCATTTTGCTGTTTCGATTCGAACTGTTTGCCATGTTGCTGTTTCGGTGCGAAGCGTTGGCTGGCGAAATGTCCCGTTGGCGAAATGGGTGGTAGCCGTAGACTAGTAGGTACTAGGTACCTAAGAATTTCCAGCTTGTGGCCTTTAGATTGAACCCTAAACATGCCATGCTGCCTATCTCGAGCATATTTTCTACTGTGCTCACGGTGGTGCTCACCACGGTGCCTACACGGTATCCCTTTGATACCAATGGGAAAGTACAGGTTAAGCTGCAATGGTATCATGGGCGGCTGGCATTGTTTCTGATGTGATTTCAAGAAACATTCCCAAGATTTACTACGTCATATGTGCCTTTAAATTTGTTTACAGTAGAAAATATGCTTGAGATAGGCAGCATGGCATGTTTAGGGTTCAATCTAAAGGCCACAAGCTGGAAATTCTTAGGTACTTAGTACCTACTAGTCTAATACCCACAAGAGTTTGGATTGTTGCATCTTAACTCTGCAGACCGTATGTTTTTATATTTTATGTACTTACCGAAGCAGAGGCCTGCAGAGCTGTCTGTGTGCAAGCTAAGTTTTCTTTATTTGATTGACTGTTAAACGGTTAGCCAAGGAGGAACACTTCATTACTGAGAACGAGAGATTCTGCAAAACTCAAAACACAGCGTGGCGCGGCTCGTAGCCGCATTGCGAAGAAAATGGACGGTTCGATTACATATTTAAAATTGCAAAAAAATGTTGTTATGGAATTTGTTTACTGGGGAGTTCGCTTGAGTGCGTGGCTGTTGGCCCGTTTTAGCGAGCTATTTGAGGAAGGTCGTGGATTATGTTCCTTTCTACACTGGTCCAAGCCCCCAAGTTCCTTGTGCCATAGAAGTTAGCTGGGCATACCCAGATTACTCTTTGGGACGCTGTCTGAGAGTGACCGATATTGCAACTGTATTCGGGCAAGTCAAACCTTCTCCAGGAAGAGCAAACCCGACTTTTGTGACATAACCGAGCCAGTATATAATCCCCAGTTTAAAATTTCTTCGGAATGTTACGGTGAGCCAATATCAAGGTAAGAAGTAATCGCAGGTAAATTACAAGAAGGTTACTTCTAGACGACCCTAGATTTGGTAGCGCATGGACTTTCGTTTAGTACACTGTCAGTACATAACTGCGCTGCTACACATTAAAGGTCACGCTTTACCTAATGCGCTAAGTACTTCGGCTTTAGGACAGGTGCTGATCAGTCCGTGAAAAGAACAAACCTTTCACGATCAAGACAACCCGCCTTATCAGCCAGCTTCGAAACGTACTCTAAATGATTATTTCAACGTCCATGGCGCATAACAGCTGCTGCAAGACCAGGTTGAACCACGTCGCGATTGCCCACACCACGAAGAACACCAGCACCCCGTGTAACAAGTGCAAGGCCCGAATTAACCACAACGGAGATATACGGAGACAACAACACCACAACTATAGCTGATACTACAACGGCAGTGACAATGGAATGCGGAAATCGACATTGCAGATTATTTAGGAATGGATCCTCGCTTTATTTCCAATTCGGTGATAAAATACATACTGACCGTTTATCCGGTTCCCGTTGGAAGCAAATAGCTCGGACCAAAACGAGATTACGGCAGCAGAAAGCAGAGTTTTGTGCGCTCGTGGCTAGCCGACGAAAACTTTAAAGATTGGCTAATTTTTAAGAAAGCGGAAGGCGGCTTTTGCAAATACTGTGCTCTGGGATTTACTGAAGCGAACGTTGGTCGCGGCGGAATCCGGTATGAAGGAGAGCTGGTTTCAAAAAGACTATGGGATTTCAAAAACAGCAAAGCGGCTTTGGAAAACCATGGCAATACTCAGCACCATAAGAATGCCGTCATCAGTGGCCGCAATCGGCTGGCCTCGTACACGGATGCTATAGACGTTGAACGACAGCTAGCGGACCATGGTGATGAATCACAAAAGAATAGCGACTGCATTATTGAAGCTGGCTTTAAGGGGCTAGCACAGACTGGAATTTTGTGGAAGATTACAGTTGCCATTGCGCGGTCTCAAAGAAAGAAAAATAGACTTTTCCTTGAATTTGTGCCAACGAATGGACTGAAAGATCGGTGTGTTCAACGCGATGGTGCTCAACCGGATCGACTCTGGTGATAATGATTTGAAACTGCACTTACTGCGAAGCGCCAAAAATGCGAATACATTTCCAAGGATTTCCAAAACCATATTATCGACATTTTTCGTGAATCCATACAGGATGTTATATTAGCGGAGGCCAAGCAGAGCAGGTTTTTCTATATTTTGGTGAACTCGAGCGTTGAAGTTGCATTACTCGAGCTGTCCATCGCACTGCGCTATATTAAACAAAATGAAACCAAGGAAATGTTCATGGGGTTTTTGGATGTTTGCGGCTCTACGATAGGTAAACTTCATTGAAATAATGGATCACAAACTTGTTGTCGGTTTAATCTCTTGTGCGAATGTGTTGCAGAGGAACAACTTAATGAAGAAATCCTTGGTCCCTAAACCAGTAGAAGTTAGACCTGCCAAAACTACGCGGATAGGATTATGACGGCGCTTCTTCCATGGCTGGTAAATTCAACGGAGTACAGGCCAGAATATCTGCAAAATTTCCAAAAGCCGAATACGTGCACTGCTTCGCACACGCCCTGAATCTGGCAATTGTTGAATCTTCGAAGAATCCTGTTATTCAGAATGTTATTGTTCTGGTCAACTATATTGGCAACTTTTTTCAATCGGCAAAGCGAGCACTAGTGTTACGAGAACGCACCAAAGGAACGGCGACAAGGAAGAACCGTGTAATCGTTCCTTCAATGACAAGCTGGACGGAGCTGTCCCAGGCCTTGGAAGCTCTGTTTGAGCTGTTTGTGCCGGTTGTGGACTCTAGAAGCAATTTTCACCTCTGATAATTTCAACAGTGAGCCGAAGACAAAGGCTGGCTATCTACGAAGTGATTTGCTTTCTTTTGAAAGCTTTTTAGCGTTCACGGTATGGTGGAAGCAGCCGGCTTGGTTTTCGAACAAAATTTTGTTTTCACCAAATGTTTTGTTTTTAGGTTCTCAGAAAAGTGCTGTCCGTGAGCGCAGCTCTAAGGCGGACATTTAAAAGCAGGATTAGCCGATGATGAAGGTTTTTACGACCAGTGTTGGCGAGAGGCACTAGCTCTGCTGGAGCCATACGACGTGAAGCCGAACATCTGCAAATACGTACGCAAGTAGGGTGTGTGGACGGTGGCAGAGAGCCGCGATCCGAAGGAATATTATTTGGACTTGGCTGCTGATTTGCTGCAACACGTCGTCGAGTCATTGGATAAACGTCTCAGCGAGGAAATATACAGGTTTCAGCAGTAGCAAACCTGCTGCCGATTAATCCTGACGCATTGGACCAAAACAATATTCAAGCGCTAATAGAAAGCAGCCCTGAAGATTTTCCACACAAAGAACAGCTGGAACCAGAAATTAGACGATGGAGAACTATGTAAAACTCTCCAATGTTCCCTACAAAAGCGGATAACGTAACCTAAACGTTGAAGCAGTGCTCGGCTAATATCTTTACAAACATTCGTACTCTGCTGGAATGGTTCGGGAGCATCCCTGTTACGACCGCTAGCGTAGAGCGCTCTTTTTCTTACTTGAAAACAATTAAAACGTATGTCTGTTCGACGACCGGCGAAGAAAGATTAACCGGTTTAGGACTTCTGGCCATCCACCAGGGCATATACGTCGATATTGACGAATTAACAGCAAAGTTTTTTTTATAAAATTAATATCCCCATCAAAAAAGAGAACGAAAATACAACAAAATGGGTAAATATTACTTCCCTAAATCTGCTTAAAAAGCTGACCACTGACAGGTTGTTTTTACACCACTAACAGCGATAATTGGACCAGACAAAGGAAAATCCGTGACAGCGATTTGAGATTAGTAACGCCTGTCGGCAGCGCAGCGGAGCTAGCTGAGACCACAAGCGTTATGAACGTTGAATCCGAAACCAGCGAAGGTAAGAATATAAAAATAAATAGCCTGTGTAAGCTGCTGTTGTAATAATGTTACTAAGTTATTGTTCTGTGGTATTTTAGATCAAGGCTGTCTTGACCCAGTTGTGGACACGGGCAATGCCGAAGATGCCGCGTATCTCAGTGATATTCTAAGAATTGTAACTTCAAAAACCCACAGTATTGAAGCTGACGACGATGAAGACATCCAGTAAATTCCTATAAAAAAAACGACTATAATTGTTAACAGAAGAGCCAAGAATTTGCCGAAATTCGATCGAAGTTGCCGAAGTTCCCGCTAACAGTGTACATTGAATACGGTCTGTCTGTTAATCATGCTTACAGCTTTTGTTTGTAGCAGCGAAACAGTTGACGTCGACGTCACAGACTATTTCAAAAGCGCCTCGGCGGTTGTGGTCGACTTCTGGTCAGGAAGCAAAGCCAGCAGGGATATGACAGAATGGCTGGAAGCCATTTGAATCAAAGTAACAAAAATTCTGGCCACAACACAACGAGGCGACACATGTGGTTATATCGCAGTGGGCGATGCAACAAATTTTCTTGGATCTCGGGTGCCACTTTCTTACTATAACAGCTATACCTTGGTGATAGGCATTACTTCAGCGGAGGCGATAGACCGAATCCGAACACTGGTGCGAGATCGGCCTACCACCAGCGTTGAATTGCCGACTACCCGTAGACCTTACGACTGGACGTCTACCTCCGATGTTGAGTATGCAATGCGTATTGCTTTGGAGATGGATGAAAACCAACTTGGAAAGCATCTTATGGTCACGGCTGCGCACTTTTTTTGCCGACGAAATGTTTCCGCTGAATTACCGGTTATACGCAAAGCCTGCGAAACCCCCTGCAGATGTCATAAAGCGCTTTGTTTATACACTAAATAAATACCAATCTCAACACAGAACTCCATTGGTTTACACTGGCTGTTGACTACACAGCAAACTAAAAACCACTACCTGACATTTCCTACGGAAATAGCTCCGTCAGGCGTGGATGGAAAAGAAAATAATCGGGATAAACGGGAACGGGATACAAGCCACGTGGAATACTACTGTAGCGGCTCTACCAAGTTATACCACAGAGTTTGTACACGGGAAAACTGCACCCACGCAGCGTGTGCATGGTGGGTGCACGGTGTGCAGGCCTGACGGAAAATACTTCCTTGCTTGTTTGCTGTAGGCTGGAAGGCAACATGTCACTACCGCCTTAGCGGAAGCCATTGTTTAGTATATCAATTTCTTATTTTCTATTAAATGCTATATAGCTTAATTAATTTATTTTACTTTGGTTTTCGTATATCATTGTCTTCGCTAAAAGAATATAATGCTGGCGTGATTATGAATGAAACGGCACTGTAAGATATAGTCATTGTCGTAAATATATGCAGCAGTTAGTAGTCTCCAACATCCACCCCAACCCCATGCCACCCGCCTCGGGAGTTGGGGGTGACCACCCCCAGTCAGTATGCTCGGCGCGCCCTGCCCCCCCCACCCAACCAGAAAGCTCCAGCCGCCCCTTTAGTCTGGTTAGAACATTTTCCGGGTCCAATTCAGAAAATTCCCATCTTTTTCAGAAAAGAAGCTTTTATACCCATAGTATAACTAGAAAAATAGTTTAGTGCTGAGACTCAAGGGCGTGGCTAAAAAAACAAGTGAATATCATAAGACTACACACTAATACAATGCACTATTGCACTATTGCAGTTGCTCGTACAGGCTGTTTACGTACTGTAATAATAGTTCAAAAAAAATTTTTTGCCGAAGGGTACGAGTACTGATCGACTGCGAAATGTTTAAAAAATGATTTCGTCGGCAAATGTTAACAAGGCGCCTCCGGTCATCACAAATTTACAAAAATAGACTACAGAATACAGCTACAATATTTCACCAGGTATTCGAGCACATTTTCATGCTTTTTGCTTTTAAAAGGTGAGTATCTTGTGATACCTATATTGTTTTAGGTTCACTATGCCGCGTACCTGTACTTTGAGAGAACATGAGACAATATTTGTTCGCTAGTTTACATAATCTCAGAAAAAAATGTTGTCCATAAGTTTGCACTTTTGCAGACCCTCTCAGCTGCAATACTACTATACTTGTACATATAATCCATTTTTAAAACTGCTATGCTGGACGACCCCCACTGCACATGAAATTGATTTTTTAAGCGTTTTGCATTTGTACACTACCGTTCGGCAGAAGAGTACATAAACAGGTTTTTTTGTAGTGTTGCTTTAAGTACTTAGTAAAAGTAAATAGTAAATTATACTTAGTAAGCCGTTTTTGCCTCTTACTAATTAAGTAAAAAGTAAGTAAGCAGCAATGCGGAAAAGTAAAAGTAAAGTAAAAGTAAGAGCAGTCGAGGCCTGAGAAGTAAATAGTAAGTAAAAGTAAGAGGCGCGAAACGCGAATAGTTTAATTAGTCTTTTTACTAAAGGTCCGCAACAGATAAAAGTGGCGGGCATCAACAGAATTCTGCTGAACATGCTTTTTTCCATAGCAGTTACGTCTGGCAGTATGTACAGGTTTTCTTCTGAATCTCTAAAATTTCGCTGCACTGCAGACGCTTTCAACCGCTTAGGTGAGCGAGTTACGTTTTGACTGCCAGGCATATTAGTTAGTGCCGCTTCACTACAATACAGTATTTACCTTGGCACTGGATGGCGGATACCGTGTAATGCTTTGCTAATTTTTGCCAAAAAAAGGACTGTATTTTACACAGAACCAAATCGCTTCATTGAACAAATCTGAGCCCAGATTACAATCAATCGGTGTGCACACTGTCCCAGAGTACAAGCAGTTATTTTAGATATGCAATATGCTTAAGAAACGAATATCGCGAAATTGAAAACTTTTGTTGCGTACTGCGATTTACAAAACACGAATAGTAAATACTATTTTACTAGTGATTACTAAGTAAGTAAAAGTAAGTAAGGTTACGATAAAAAAAGTGAAAAGTAAGTAAAAGTAAAGAGTTAAGATAATGGAAAGTAAACAGCAAAGTAAATAGTAAATAGTAAAGTCAATGGCCAGACGAAAAGTAAAAAGTAAGGTGTTGAGGCAACAGTAAATACAGCACTGAATTAAACAGCTTGCACAAGTATTGCAGTAGTGCATTGTAATTGTATGTAGTGTTAGGGTATTCATTCTTTTTTCTGGCCACACCCTAGAGTCTCAGCACATAAATTTATTTTTTTAACTACGAGTATTACTACTTTCCTGCAAAAGTTGGAAATTTTCTGAATTTCGACCCAGAAAATGTGCCCTGGTAAGTCATAGATACGCTCAACCAAACGTGGATGTCTATGTAGAATGTACCGTTCGATAGCCTTGAATGTGTTGATTTAGACAAAGTTATCAGATTTAAAAACAACAAAAACTTTTGAGTAAGGATGGTAATATCCAATATCCAAAAGTGTATCCAGAGCATAAATATCCAAATATCATACCCATATCTTGAGCTGTCTCGAAAGGTACGGATATTTTTGGGGCTGGGTCTGAGTGGCCTTCGCCTTCGCCTTCCGCCTTCGCCTTTTGAGCGGTGCGCATTCGCCTCCGCCTTTCAAAAGATGCGCCTTCTCATTGTCTTTCTTATGTAGTATTACGTTTCTTATGTAATGTTATGTTGTTCTTAGGTTTCGTGAGATATGTTCCTAGGTTTCTTAGGTTTCTTAGGTTTCTTAGGTTTTCTTAGGTTTCTTAGGTTTCTTAGGTTTCTTAGGTTTCTTAGGTTTCTTAGGTTTCTTAGGTTTCTTAGGTTTCTTAGGTTTCTTAGGTTTCTAAGGTTTCTCAGATTTCTAAGTCAAGAAATGTAAGGAACCAAAGAATTCTAAGAAACTTAAGACGCTTAAGAAACCTGAGAAACGTTAGAAGCCTAACAAACCTAAGAATATTACTCACGAAAGCTGTGGATAACTTAAGAATGCCAATGTGAAGGCGATCTTGTGGAAGGCGAAGGCGAGTGCGCATTGCTCAAAAGGCGAAGCCGGAAAGCGAAGGCGAAGGCCACTCATACCTATCCTATTTTTGGATATTGGGTGGATACCGTAATTATCGAATTTGTGGCCCTGGGGTGCAAATAGTTCGAATGCCCTGGCGGAGGGGGGCTTATTTCGGTGGGTGGCATTATTTTTCAAACAGTATATTTTGGAGAGGGGCATTATTTTTCAAACAACTGCTCATCGTGTTCTAGCTAAACTGAACGCAGTAGTTACCGGTTATATTGGCGGTATATGCAACTGCACAACCTTGGGAGACAACATTTTGGAGTATATTATATATACCTCCCTATCCAGCTGTTTGCCAGCGAACACCGCATTATTTTGATGTCCGTTAACTGTTTCTTATTAAATTACAACTTTTGCGGCTAAGTTTTGCGGTATACCAATCATTTTGTGGCGCTCGACATTTATTAATGGCCCCCTGGGGCGTAATTTCGGGGGGTGGTCTTATTTTTCAAACAGGGTCGGGTAGGGGGGCTTATTGCGGGGGGAAGGGAGGCCCAAATCCGATAATTACGGTATACATGCTTCGACTTTTCTCAACAACGTATCAGCTTGACTGAATATTTTGAAAAACGAATCACCCATTTATTCAGCTATTTTGATAGTACAAAAATTTCAAGATCAACAAGTTTGCGTAGACATCAATATCGTCTGACGTTCTATTGGTGTCTCCGCAAAATAGACATAAATGTGCAAATCACAATGATTGATATTTGGTTTCACGCTGAAACAAAACTTTTGTATCAAAAACTCGGAGCCGTCGCACTTGGTCTCGCATTGGAAGTTGGAAGTTGGAACTACGATTACCATGTGTGGCGGTAAGGCGGAAATGGCGGGCACGTCAGATAATTAACTCTGATCTACGTTGCTAGAGAGCTTGCGTAGAAAACGTGGATTTTGGTGTTTCTTGCTCTTTTAACGTAGAAAACTCAAAAACTTTACATTCATGATTCAACATATGTCTTTTTTTATTTTGATAGTAATTCTCAAAGGTCCCGCTAGGTCTTATTAATAAATCATCGACCGAAGCGAAGCGAAGGTCCTCTATGTTCAAGAAAAAGGGACATTCTGTCACGTCGGTCACGTCGGTCACGCACACAAAAATTATTGCGCAATCGTGGCCACCCAGGATAAGTTGAGGTGACCACTCCGTAAACTACCTTCACCTACCTTTCACTGTGTACACTGCCTTCACCCTGTACATACATTAAAAAGACCAAGCGGCAACTTCTAATACAGAAAAAACCTGCGAAACTGGTCGAAACTTCGTTCAAATGAAACAAATGAAAACGGCAATATCCAACGTTTTAAACCCTGTGCGAAGAAAAACCGGCATCCGGAAGCCGAGAGTTACTTACGTATAGTTGGCGCCTGGCGATGATGCGTGAAATTAACGGCAGATCCGGAAATAACGTTAACGTGAAGAAATTTAAAAAAAAATAAAGGGTCACGAAAGGGAACGCAGATAAAGGTAGTGCCGATTGGTAGTGTACGGAGTAAAAGATAAGGAAAGGCAGTGTATGGAGTTGTCACCATATCTTATATTATAAGTATACACTGTAATATACAGTACTTTCTCTAAGGTTCTTCTATCCAGTAATTTTTAAAACTAATAGTATCCAGTAATAGTAATAGTATTATAACAGCATCCAGTAATCCAGTACTTTACGGCTTACGCACAGATCGTATAATATAGCCCTTCTCGCCGCGCACTTTAACCTACTAACGCCGGGTACCAGAAGGAGTGAGCATACCGATTTGAAAATTGGTTTTCCTCGGCCAAATAAATTCAATTAAGAATTAAGTCACATTTTGTTTAATTTTTCTGACCATAGGTTAAGCAGGACACCATGATGCCGAAATGACACGCATGGGAACTGAACCATTTGGCACTGTATAGTTTTTCTCAGATAGTAATTCATCATAAAATTTACTGGAATTGGACTCTGGGCACATCATTTCGAATTTTTGTTTCGTAGCTCTGTAGCGCTCTGTAAGATCCAGCGCTACACCATTGGTAGGTTCACTTTTACAGAACTTCCGGCACTTTAAGTTACACAACGTATGTAAAGTGTGCGGCGAGAGGGGCCAATATCGGCATTTCTATGTCGGACTATCTATGTCCCTTTCCCGCATGAAATCGAATTGGCGATAGATCAGGCTTCTCTTTTGAATCTTATGCATTCCATAAAGCAGCAAAAGCTACCGTTCAAAGTAAAGAGAACGGGATAGTAAAAACCGAGAACAGAACGCCTGCGCCATCTTTTTTAACTACTCTGTAAGTATACATAAATCGTTCGTAAATATTAGGTATAAATGGTATCAAACAAAGCGTTTGATATTATGCAGTCTTCTATCAGTCACTATTATGGATATTAGAATCAGTAAAAGGAAAAATGGCTCTCTGCTTCAACATCGCCCTGTGTAATTCACTTCCCCAGTTCTAAGTACTTCTCAAAATATTTCATGCTTCGCTTCGGTCTTTTAGTGCTAGCGAGCAGCGGTGCACTTCCCTAGTTATAATTGTTCAAACTAGTAAAACTTCCGTTGTTAGCTTAAAATTCATCTAATTTAATTTTCATGGGCAGTTGGGCGATGAATTTTTCTTTGCAGCAGCAGCCTGAAAAAGTAAACTGTGAGTAAGAAGCCTTGCAGAATTGTAAATTTTTTATTTTCAAAGAATCTATGAACATAATAAAACAAAATAATACGTAACGAGTGAAAATTGATTAATCAGGTCGAAAATATTGCATCCTGAATAGAAAGACGAGCGTTCTACATTTCGATAAAATTAATGTCGAAGTTGAGCTGTTTCCGGTTCCGGTACATTTGCCATTTCACTTCTGATTTCTGGACACCCGTAGGAGTGCGATTGCGAATGCGATCGCAGCATCGAAAGCGATCCTACGGCATGCGATTTGCTGCAGCACTGCATTTGTCGATTTTGTAACTTTGCAGTCCGTAAATTCGCCTACCATTACGATAGCGCCCGGTTACGAATCGCGATCGTCATCGTGAATGTCAGGACGCACTCGTAGTAAATCTGTGGAAATCGCTACTGAGGCAAAAACTGAAAAAAGCCGCGAAATTTTGTGTTTGATATGTTCAGTTTATGTCAGCGCGGAAACTTTTTTCGAGCTATGCCGCGCTCTGGTTTCAAACCTCATGTTACCCACTTTGATAGTTTCACAGGCAGGTGACGCCAAGCGACACGACACGAGCGGATCTTGAGGAACAACAAGGGAGACATTCTGCGTAGTGCTTGGCACAGTAACAGCTAAATCCCGAACTTAAACTACAAGTACTTGTATACACAATCCCAAAATAGGCGAAAGTCGAAAATTAGGTTTGTTTTTAGTTTTCGGAATTGCACTTCCAACCCACAAGCAGACGTGGCAAACTGAAAAGTAAAGGCTACAAGTAAAGTCGACCACTCCGTTACAAACTTTCAAAACCTTTCGTTTGCTTTACGAGAATTATCACCGATCTCTCTACGTTCACCCCGTGCACTACATAGTGCATGCACTGTTTAGTGTTTACCCTGTAAACTACAGTACCTTTTCGATTTTCGCCTTCCACCGTCCCTCATGGACCATGGTCCGACGTGGGAAAACATTTTGCAGTGTATTCCCTGCCCAATAATTTTGCTATGTTTGAAAAGATGTACGCGTTACTGTAAACATACCCAAATTCCAGAAATTACTGTTCTTATAAATTCCAGCAATAAATCCTTCTGAAATTCAGAAATTATCGTATTCCAAATTGTTTGCCCAGAAATTCCCTGCGCGGCAACACAATTGGTATTTTGTCCGGCTGTTTAAAGTAGCAGCATGTTTCGGACATTTACGAAGCAAATACTTTAGAAATATCTTGAAAAACGAAAGTGAATAGTACAGAAATATAGTAAGTACAGAAATATTTTGAAAGCAAGTGTGGTGAAAGCGAATGCAATATCAAGCGAAGGAAATTTTGACTTGGACCGCTGGGCCAGGCAGTAAAAGGAATGAGCGGAGGGAAATAGTACGAGTACCGAAAGTTTCAAAGTTTTTTGTGTACAGAAATACGAGCAGGATTGAAAGGCAATGAGAAGCGTTGAACGGAGTGGTCGAATTAATAATTTATTCTCAAATGTTCTAAACGGTGCCACCGCAAAATGTTTTTGGTTGTTTCACTTGGTGGTCTTTAAAACTTACTGCTGATAAGTACGTATTTATTACGATCGTAGTATCAACGAAAATAAGGTAAGAGTAAGTCTCCATAGTTTGAAGTTCGTGCAGTTATCAGCCGCTAAATTACTTTGCGCGGGGTCCCCTAGTAATTATATGAATACTGACTACGTGACAAGGGTCCCCGACACTTTGTCGTTGTCTCGAATGTTCTCCCGTTCCACCCATCCCATCTGCACGCTCTAAAGTGCAACAGAATCCTCTCAGTGTTGAGAGTGTTCCTGCATCATTAATTTTCTGGAATGCCCACTACCCACAATCCAGTGGTCACTCAAAAGCTTGTTACCATGGTGGCCATTAGCTTAACGTGGGCTGTTTGTAAATCCCCAGATTGTTACTATGTTTTATTATATCGAATTGTCATTGAAATTAGCAAACTGCGCATTAGCAAAAATAACAAGTTCTGCTCACGCCTGTTTATTTTGTTCGTGCCTCCTTAATGTAATAAACATCGTGCCATTATTTAATACATATGCACTTAACCCTTTTACATGCCTCGAAATCCTAAGACATTATTCATCCGTGCTGGGCTTGTATTATATTATATTATGTAACAGTGCACACTATTAGGCTACTTCTAGTATTTTTTTATACTTTAATCGCATTATGTACATTGGCGAGCTTCGCTCAATAAAAAACACTCAAATGAAGAATTTGTCCCAATTAACATTCTAGTATTGTTATTAACCACGCTTCACAATTGTCAATAAAGTACGTGTACAGCGACGTACCTGATTTACGCACCTTAACCAGTCAAGCAGAATGCATGTTTTACAAAAATTGACTACAACTTGTTAGGCGCAAATATAAGGAAGTCCAGCCATTGAAGACTTATTCCGGAATAGGCAGAAGACGGATGGCGATTGCACCGAAAACGATGATTCTAAACTTTTTTCAAGAACACAAAGTGGCGCAGCTCGTAGCGCCTTTTCGAAGAAAATGGGACGATTTAAATTGGTATGGCTAGAGGTTACATGGTAAAATCACATTATACGGTGGGCGAGCAAACCGACTGTATTATACGTTTTTAGTATCCAGAAGCATTCCAGAATCTATCTGAGCAAGTTTTAAGTCAGGAAAACTGATTTTGACAAAAATATGTGTTACCAAATTTAACATAGTAATCAATGCAAGCGAAACATGGCGCATGCGGTTCGGTCACTGTACAAGCTGTGGCAGTGGGGCCGATCTGTAGGCGGTTGTTTTTCATCCTAAGAAACCTAGGCCAATGTCAAAAGGAGGAAGGAAATTTTAGAGGAAGGAAATTTTGTGTAGTCAAAAGGAGGAAGGAAATTTTAGAGGAAGGAAATTTTTCGGGGTCAAAAGGAGGAAGGAAATTTTTCTGTCGAAAAGAGGAAGGAAAATTTCACAAATATGGCAACATTTTTTAATTTAATTTTGCAAGTGGATAACTAGTTTTGGGGATCATACGTACGTAAGTCCTAATGCATAGCGGCAGTTATCAATATGTATAAGTGATTAGCGCCGATTTTAATGACCCAACTCCCGGTAGCGATTCGAAACATGTGAAACCGCGTTACACAAAAAACAATAACTGCAAAACAAAAAATTTATTCAAAAACATGAAACAACAGAAGAGTTACGAGAGAACTTGAACCAAAATTACGGAAAGCAAAAAGCCAACACTAACTTATTGAAAGCAAAAAATGGAAATCATGAACGGTGCTCGTTATGTTCAGCAGTAGACCACGGCAATAAATGTGAAAATAGCAAATTGGTGAGCAGGAAGTGTAAGGCGACATGGCAACCCCAAAATCCGGCGAGCGAACAGAAAGAACACTTCCTACATTTCCGTGCGGAATTTCGCGATGAGACGCAGTTCATCCTTACTAAAGTTCACTGAGTCATCCAGGTTTGCAAATGGTGTGGTAAAATGTGGATGCCGTCTTTTAATGCATGCCGCACGCAAACAGTACTTCCTTGGTTTCGCTCGGTCAGTAACTGACTGGCGGTTGCTGCCACTGATGAATTCAAACTCTTCGCGGATCACGATGATATCTTGCTCCGGTGGATTGTCAACAAACCTTTTACCACAACCAGGACACTTGGAGTTAGGATGAATAGCTCTATCTCTGGTTATACGAAAACGACCATTTCCTTTCTGCCACGGATAAAGACGCTTCATTCCCTTGCAGCAGGGACACGGCTCTAATAAAAATTATTAATTTTCAAGTAACCAAAAAGCCGTGGCAAGAATATTGATATATTTTGTATATTGATATATTTTTGATATATTATAATAATACTTCCGGCAACCGGGTTAATATAAACAGGGAATGGGCATATAATAATTATAATATAACATTAATGCCCAGTAATAAAAATTATTTGCCTGTTTATATCAACCGGCTTTTTTCAGTAAAATTTCAATATACAGAATAATAATTATATATAAGTAAAATTTTATCATAAATAATAAGCTATTAAGTGGCGATAGCTCTGTCGTATAAGTTAAAATTACAAGAGAGCGAATTATGGCTGAGTCTGGATCAAATTTTACTGCCGGAAGTAGCTAGCAAAACTCCCAGTCATTTGTTCTAAGGACGACTGTTTCACGTCGCCCTGCAGCCGAACATGTAGGCTAATAAACGTTTCCGTACGCAACATCCGGTTGCTTAAATTGTGCGTATTTAAGCTTTTGTTTACTAATATAAGTTCTGCAAGATTACCGGGCTCTTTTTGGATCCGTGGAGTATGGATCTTCTTCGTTGTCACTGATGGTCAGCACTTCAACAGAGGGTTTAGGAAATGGTAGAGGGGAGGCAGATCCGCTGGCATCGGGCTCTGTTCTGTTTCCGGCAGAACTCGAAGAAGCGGATGTGCTGGGAATAATTTCATCCTGGTAAATCGTGATATCAGGGCTGGAACTGATACAGTCTTCGCTGGCACGCCCCTTAGCATAGCTGAATACAAAACCGGAGTAATCGTCAGCACTTTCACAAATTATATGTTATTACTTATATATATATTAGCCAATAATTTACTGCATACGTCAGTTTACGTAATACATGTATGTACATCGTAAATTTAAGTGCAGTTCTGTACGTAAGCTAACATTGCTAATACCCAACGATACTTTATTCACTGCACAGTATCTGCTGCATTCAGCATTGCGGATACACAGTGAATAAAAAGTAAGTATTTAAGTAAATTGGTTCCATGTACAGTATGCGTATGCCAGTAACCTTTAAAGGATGTTATTAAATCACATAAAATATTGCAAAAAAATGTTCTTACGCCGGAGGTAAGTCTTCGCCGCCGCTGTCGTCGTCAGTTTCCATTGTTTCAATACTTTCCATGCTGGATAACTGTACAGTACCTTACCATTATTTCGGAGTTAATGAAATTTATAAAATGAGCAGGTAGATAAAAGTTTTCAGATTTTCTGTATTGGTGAAATTCAACAACTGCATTTATGGCAGAAATGCTGCATGAGGAATGATGCGGCATGTGGAATCACTGGAATGCGCTCATGTGTCTCGGTGCTTTACCCGGCCACCGGCTAGACTGCAGTTGTCTCTCGTCGGCTGTGTCGGTCTGGACCTGGGAAAGTTTGGTTGTTTTGATGAGCATTAAAGGGATCAGACAAGATCACACTTTCTTGTTATCGTCAAAAGCTTTTGTTCGTAAATTTGTTTGCCGCTTGCATCTGGTTTCGCGGCACGCGTATTATGTTATGTAATGCATGCTGGCGTACATTGCCCGGTGTGGTGAAGTGCATGGCAGACATGCAGTATTATGCGGTACTTTTATAATGATGCGAATGAGGCAGTGGTCTGTTATTTGTATACAGAAACATTATGTCATTTGTGGCTGGCGTATTTTACTTGCGAACAGTGCTTTGGTGGTCGCGCAGAAAAAACATATTTCATGCCTCTGATGGTTTTATTCCCAAGAAAATTTTATTTTGACCACAAAAAATTCCTTCCTCTTTTTGACCCACAAAATTTCCTTCCTCCTTTTGAACCCGAAAAATTTCCTTCCTCTAAAATTTCCTTCCTCCTTTTGACCACACAAAATTTCCTTCCTCTAAAATTTCCTTCCTCCTTTTGACATTGGCCGAAACCTAAGAAAATTAACAAACCTAAGAAAACCTAAGAAAACCTAAGAAACCTAAGAAACCTAAGAAAACAACGTTAACTGTGGTCAGCTTCCATAGACCACCATGTTAAGGGGATGGCTATGATGGCTTTAATTCTAAAATGCCGTTTTGCAAAACGAAGCCGCTATACAGATCGAAGACCGCTCTGTTAGATGGCAGAAAGACCGAAGTAACAGGATTGCGGGGTTATCAAATATGAATTTTTCAAGTTAACTAAGTAAACGGAGTAACGGTGGAAGCAGTGACTGGCTCGGCTCACCATTACGTACGCATATACGAGTCTGCGCATATTCAATGAAAGCAATGGGGAGAAAAGATGTGTGATCTACATCTTTTGTTTTACTGACAGCCATAAATCGAGCACTGGTCAGTGGAATGAAAGCAAACACCGAAAGACAATAGATTTTGGTCACACACAAGTGTGGTAGGAAGCGGACAATCGCCTGTCTGGATAGTCTCCTTGGTTTGATACGTGTGGTGGGCTGTAACAGTCAGCATGTCCATGACTGATGTAAACTTGCATGAACTTTCAAAGGCATCCGTTTAAAAAGCGGTCGATAAGCTTAATCATTTCACCAAAATACTTGGTGGAGGCGGACAAGTCGCCTTCATGTTCACTCATTGCTGTACCGCGCCTGTAACAATGCAGGGCTTTACGAGTCACCATACTTTCCATGTCCAGCCGACGGAAGCGGACATTCCAGTGCTACTCGGATGCGGCTACCTACATTCGAAGTTCACCTTCATTTTAACACAAATTCCTAATCCGGAACAACCCGAAGGGACGACGGTAGTGCAGTCTATCCCGATACCAGAGGCATCGGACACGTCACCAAGTTAAGCGAGGATAAGTCAGATTGATCACCCCTCGGACTCTTTGCGTAACATTTGCCGTGGCTGCCGGGACACTAACCGGACTCTGATCGAGGAACTTAAACTGCACAACGCCATCGAAGCGTATGAAGGACGGAAAAGCATCGGAACACTACAACCGGCGAAGACTATATTAAAGTCTATCCCGATACCAGAGGCATCCGCTGACGCGGATGCCCAGAACCTAGAACAAGTACCACAAAAGTACCGAACTTGGTTCTCGGGAATTTGGCACTTTCTCGACCAACGGACGTTGGAGTTAGTAACGACTCTGCAACAGAATGGAGCAACGACACCCGAACAGATTAGTACAGCACAACGGGAGTGCGAACCAGTAATCGCCTTGGAGCAGACCATTGACGAAGAAGCGTGGGAATGGGAAGATGAACGAGTTCCAATCCATCGACAGTACATGGAATATTGACTCCCCATACCGCGCCCCTTGGAAATGTGCTGCCAAGAACTTGGCAGTCAACTCTTCTCCTACCTGCAACGCACACAACAGTATGGAGCGACCGGAACAACAGCGTTCTGGCAAAGGTACGGCGAGGATACCACCATAACATGGCGGATCCCCGACCCGCTACCACCAATCATGGAACATTACCCGAAGGATGTGAAACTGCTGGGAGCTTACCAAAACCGGACGAAAACGTGTTATTGTAGGAAACCGATAAACCTTATCGGTGTATCATCTGTCAAGACAATATTGACGGGGTGGTACGGGCCATAAAGGCTCACCACGACCTAACTTGGTCGGACGGCAGACCGTCGTCACCGGAACCTCCGCAAAAGGACCGGAAGGTAGACCGCTCTCGGAAGACTCAACGGACAGGCATCCGATGGCTGAGCAACATAGGCTCACAGCCAACCGACCTTGAGAAACAGGACGGAGCGAGTCGACCAACCCAACCGACGGATATGGCCGACCATACCGAACCGACCACAAAGGTCGGATACAGTAACATGCCGCAGGTCGACCTTGACGAAGACGGATCGGCCATCGAATTTGAATACTGCGAGTCGGACGGCTCGGACGTACCAAGTATGAGCGATTCGGCGGACA